GATTCATTTCACAAAAAATGGTATTTTAATCTATTTTTCAGCTGCACATATCCATATAAAATTCAGTAGCAACACTCGCTAAAGCTTTAACAAATTCGTTTTGACAGCCGCCGACACCTTATAATTAAGGTCAAATAACAGTGCGCTTTTCAAATTAAACTTGGGGCTCATGTTACAGTGTTTATTACAGTGTTTATAAGACCTGACATTTAAAGGGAGAACATAATTTATTAGTGGCAATTTGCATGGTTGATCATGATTACAATAAGGCTAAAAGAGTTGCGTCCCTGGAGGATTATTTTAAATTCTCATTTTGATACTTCTGATCTTTTCTTAAATGAGTAAGGACATCGAATAATAAGCTACAGTCTCATTTACATCCCGGCAGAGCCCCGGTAGACGTCCGGGGTGTTCCGGGAACGACCGGGGTACGACTGGGAACAACCGGGGTACATCCCTAACTCTGCCGCAACGTCCTGGATGATCCGGGAACATCCGGGATTCGACCCCGGATGGAATAAAATATTTAATATCACCGGGGTGGTCCGGGTGGATCCGGGAAGTATAGCTTTGTCGGCTTCATCCTTAGCTCGGTCGGGAACGACCGGGATTACACCGGTGAAGCACCTTAGCTCTGCCGGCATTAACAGGGGATGATCCGGGGTATGATATAGCCGGTAGAGCTACGGTAGAGCCCCGGTGAATGCTGGTAGAGCCCCGATGAATGCCGGCAGAGCCCCGGAGGATGACAATGGAGCTACGATTGATCCCGGTAGAGCCCCGGCAAGGCACGGTTTATTTCAAAAGAATTACAAAAATTTGCGATGATTGTACTTGTTTGTAATAAAATCCTTCCCATTTCCCTTCTATCCAGTCTTGCATAAGGATATTTCAGAAAATCATCATGAAATACTATTCTGGAACAATTAATATTATATTAAATAAAAATTATGTATCAATTTTCGCGCGTTTTCAATCCACCGGGGTTCTACCGGGGCTCTGCCTGGATCGTCCATGGCTCCGCCGGGGCTCTGCCTGGACCGACCAGGGCTCTGCCTGGGTCAACCGGGGCTCTTCCGGCGTCATCCGGGAACGACCGGGGAAGCACCGGCATAAATGCCTGGATGATCCGTAGCGCATCCTGGGTGGTAAGTTGGGAATTACCGTAGTGCTGCCGGGGTTAGTGTGACCGCAACTTACCGGGATGGTCCTAAGCTATGCCGGGAGTAAGTGAGACCGCAGCTTTAGAACATTGATTTAAAAGGTGTAAAATATATTCACGAACATGTCAAGGGTATAAAGACAACAAACAGTGTCAAAATATAGATGTAAAAATAATAGGATTATTAAATAAATAAAATAATTGTATGACATTATTAATATATAAAAAAACAAATATTACTCTATATAGATAGAAATAATACGATTATTGTTAAATTGTTCGCACAAGAAAGGCATTTAATGTTTCGCATTTCTTTTTACCTTTAATTCCTTTCTTTTGTCAATTTTATCTACTGCTGCAAGTGATGTTTATGTGCAAAACATATCGTGTATGTATCAAAATGCAAAATTGACACAATTTAATCACATGGACGGAATGTTATAAAGAAAGGATAGGTAGTATACAATTTTCTGTATAACTACTTCAGACAGTAAATGAATGATATAGTTGATAATAACTTTAAATAATAATAATAAGTCTGACAAAATGAAAGTAGTAAAGAAGACGGGAAACAGGTTATTCCATGGTAGGAAATTGGATGTGAAAATACTATTCATTACAAATCATTCCATAATGAAACATATACTTATCATAATCACTAAAATACGTTCTAATGATTTGAAAAGTTTTAATCTTTAAACTTTTTTTAAAGCCAGACTTCTATTTCTAATATATCAAGCTTTAACGAAGCTTTGGTCAGAGAAATGACGGAATGATCTGCAATAACTGATACTATCACAAATATGCATAAGTGTCAAAGTTAATTTATTCACATTATTGCAGATGAATTAAGTATATCTAAGATGAATCATAAAAAACAATGATGTGGGTAAACTTAAAAACCAATCGTCACTTAGAACAAAAGTACGTCTCTAATATCGAACGTCATTAAAATCTGTAAGCTAAAGACTGTTCTATTGGCCGATAACAGATACCACAAATTCTACTGAATGTTGTTATATTTTTAGTTTGTTATGACTTTTATTTGCAAATATACTTGAATGTATTAACAAATGGATAGAATTCAAATGCATCCCTTGCAGAATTTACTATTATTATAAAATGTGTGTAAACGTTATAATTGTTGGTATTTTCCAGTTAAGGATATTGTTTAAAATGTAGATCAAAAGGTTTGTCCGTTGATAGCATAAAGGCTTACCATGTCCTGGAATGAATGTAATAACTGAACAACATAAATCATGTTCTTAATTTTGTTTGGTCTTGTGGTGAAGACATATTATATTTCATTCATGAGAAATTACGGAAATTCTTCCATTTTTAAAAACCTTTTAGTCTTAAGTTATTATCTGAGTAATTTGGGATCGAACATTCTACAACTCGGAGGCTCCCCAAGAGTTTTTTAACATCCTCTTTACTCCCTCTTACTACTAAGTTTATATACTTGGTGTTGTACTTCTAATTGCTTTCGTCTGTTGAGGGCTTAATATAACTCTTAGACAAGACATTTGCTTTTTCAATTATTTTAGACTGTGTACATGCAATGATTAATAGCATATCAAAGTTTTATTAATTAATATGATATAGTATATAACGTCGGCTTAAACATGTTATAAAAACATATGAACCATTTTGAAATTAATCATTTCCATTTTATGTATAATATTCTTAATGTTTTAGTACGTTACCAAATAATTAAAAAATCATTTTAAGGATAAAAATATGTCTGATTTTACGCTTTGAAGTACCACAGACACAGTTTTGTCTGATAATAGCAAATTTGAGTTCGAACAAGGCAATGTGGTTGGCATGGTCTTGCTTGCTTGTTTGACGCGTGCGTCAACTATCAACTATATCATTTTCCTCATGAAACAAAATGGTATCGGCCTTTGTCATCATACTGTCAGATGGTTCTAGTTTTACCTTTCTGATGGATAACAATTAGTTGATGTACTTGGGGTTTCTTACTTTCAGGTCATTTGAGAGATTCTTCAAGGATACCTGCTTTAAATTTAATTTATGTCAATGATGTGTCTGCCGTTGTAAAATAGAAAGCTTTTTCATTATATGCTAATGATAATGGATTACTTGTGTCTTGAAGATTATATCGCCATATATTGTCTTATCTTTTAAGTTGAAGAATGTGTTAGGAATTGATCTTTTGACAATAGGCTGCCACTGCAGGTTTATTATCTTTGTGTCTAAAACCATGTTTATTAAGACCTCGTAGTCGGTCTTGTTGCAGTTATTGTCCTAACTCGGTTATGTAATGCTATTGCAGGGTGTATGATTTCAAATTAAAATAGCAGATGACAATACCCGTCTAGATATTTTGCACACGTCCTCTTCGTTAGAATGGTAATATGGGCTTTAATTCATTGTCATTTTGATCATTTTTTCTCTTATTCTAGTATCTATTCTGGTATTAACGAATTACTTGTCTAAAAGACTTCAAAAGACTCAAATCATAATAATCAAAGACTAAGACGGAAATGTGAAAATAACGCTAAACTTATGCAAAAGTAACGCCGCATTTGTCCAATTTATGGTCAAAATGAGCACATTTTATTTGCTTTCTTTGAGTACGATATAACTCAAGTAGGTATAGCTAGAACGTTTTATATGCGTTATTGATACTCATAAATAACAATCAAGCACAAAATTTGACTTCGACATAGCAATGTATTCATTATCCTTAAAAAGTAAACGTTTTCCTTGAAAACATTATAATATTGGTTAAAATGCAAGTGTTTAGCTATCATTTGCGCTTAATCGTTTATTTCAGTTCGATGAACTGTAAAAGTGGTCAGTGTACATAGAGTGTTGCTTGTTTCGGCCATTATGTTGTATAGATTGGTCGTTACCATTGCACAATTCCTGTGTTTTTTTTACATTTCTTTGCTATGGACACGGTGTATGATAAAACTCTGTTTTTATTTGACTGTATAATTATAATAAAATGTAAAACTTCTCATTTGTGTTGACATAAGGAAAACTACATTGTGATAGTTTTGAAATAAAAATTATAATTTCATGTATTGCAAAAAGCCTATTTTTCGTTATTCGAGCTAATTATATTGTACATGACTTTTCTGCCATGCCACCAATGACAGTGTCTACACTGGAAGTACTGGGAACTTTATTGCCCTTTTTATGGCATCATTGGTATTTTATGGCACACGGTATGACAATATAAAACATGCCTGATCTGTTGTATAAACTATACGATTGATTGCTTTGTTTTAAATGCACTTTTACTGAAATAAATCTATATTTTAGGAATATTATTGCATAGTTTGCATTTCTAGTGTAATATATAAACTTAACTGAATTTCCTCATTGCTGATACACATTTGGGTGACAAAATGATGCTATGATATATCAATTAAGTGGTCATTTCATCGTAAGAAACTGGTAGTTATTCGTTGTTTATTGTAGGACATTATAATTATATGGATACTACCTAAATGGTTATAGTACCTTTCTCCCAGCTCATAAACAGCTAGATTTTATTAAGATCTCGGCCACATCTTAACCACTCAATTACACTTACAAAGGTATTTCCTTGTGATCGAGCTTAGCTTATAAAAGTGTGATAGAAAGCTACTTCAATTTCAACATTCTGCCATGTGAAACAAGGATCACATCTCAGATTATATGGATTCATGGAGGCCTGCAATCGGTACGCAAAAAAATATATATTTTGTTGTAAACGTGCTGACTTTGATTCAGAAAATATTTTGAAAAAAGGCCATTCACAATAAATTTTAAATGTTAAGACACTTTGATGGACACGAACACAATAGACAACACATATAGATTTTTAATGTAATATCGTTTTACTTCATTCTCTCAAAAAGAATAATAACAACAATATAAATCTTATCATATAAATATCTGTTCTAAAATATATTTTCTCAACTTTGTAATAGAAGATAAACATTTAGCAAATATACAGCACAAGCGTAAAAAAATATAACACTAAAGCTACAGTTATGTAAGAGATTCAAGCACTCTTAGACATGGTTGTAAATTTGGCAGATTTGTTCAACAGCAAATGAGATGCACATATTTTATAATATCACTTATTTACTTATAACGTTACAAGCAAACCCCAATCATCAATTTATATCAGTCAAATAATTGGTTTCAATTGGAAAAAACGAAGCAATCTAAATAAGAAAACTCTGAATGAAATATAAAGTTTACTTGACCACTTAGTTCTATATCGGACTACATTTTTAATAAATATTATAATGCTTAATACAGAACATATTTTTTAAGCTTCTGTCAAAGACCAAAGCAAAAAAATTCATTTCATTTTGTGATATAAGATGAAAGCATAATCACGAAGAGAGCAAATAACAATTTATATTTAGAGTCACAAATGTTCTTATACACTTAAAGCTCTACGAAGTTTACATAATTATCATATATCATATTTAGCCTGAATTAATAATCACAGAATGTCATTCATCGTGTTGAAAGCACAACAAAATCTATTAAATTATGTGCTTATTACTGGCAAACTAATAAAAGATGCCACGGTTCAATTCACTTTTAAGAAAGCAGATACGTTCGTTCTTACATATAATAGATATCCTATCATGTAATACAAGATCTTAATGACAATTTGACTTTATGACTGATCACTGACTACATCAGGAGAAAAAACTATATAAAGAAAGAGAAATAGATACAGACTATACATATTCTAAGCCTCATATCAGCTTCCTCGTTCTAAATTTTCACGTTCTCTTGTGGACTTTGCAGAAGTGGGCTTTGTTGCATTATTCACAATTTCAGCATGTGTCATTTTTAACCTGACCTCTTCTAGAAGAGAATCTGTCAGTCCACCTTGATCCAGTGTGAGAGATAAACGTCCTAGAGCTGAAGTTGCCTCATTTAAACTATCAGTAGTTTTTGATAATGTATCAATAACTACAGTACCAACTTTTTCTTTTTTCAGTTCATTCTTTGACGGTTCGTTTTTATCACTGTCTTTGTTATTTTGTACAGACTCTTCTGTACCATTAATTTCTTCTTCATTTGAAACCACACTCCCTTCCTTTCCTAGCTTGGATTTTGCAGATGGTTTTGAATTTGAACTGACTTTTCCACTTTTTGATGAAGCAGATGATAATGCTTGTGAATTTGATGAAGTATCTTTTGCATTTGATAAAGAGTCTAATTTCTCTGAAGCACGCCTCTGACTTGCTGCATATAGAGGTGTACTTTGTGTTAATGAGCGAGTGCCTTGTCTCACAGATCCTTGTAAGGCAGGTTTCTGTTTTTCGGCAGTGTTATTATCTTTGACTGGTGACACACTCCTACTTTGACGGGGAATGATCGTGTTTGGACGTGTGCCGCAGTACAGTATTGTGAAGTTTTTCAAACTCTGTAGCGGCATCAATGGGAGATGCTTCTTGCTTTTCTCGAAACATTCGATGGCCACATCTGGAATGTAAAAATGTTTTGTGCAAATCAAGTGAAATAGAAAATGATTTAGCACAGTTTATTAACAATAAGTTCAAAAATCTGTTATTTTATATTATATTATTAAGATGAATTCATGACAAAATTAATCGTTTATTTGATAAAAATAATTAATCGGACATCAGCTGTTACAAATATTTCCTCTCTTTTTTAAACTTTGAGCTATGGAAATAATGAAATCAATTCATCACATATATGATATGATTCTTGTGTTTTAACATTATAACTTATTCTAAAATTTTATCTGTGTGCTATCAATTTATACAAGTAAAAATCTTGACCTAGACAACTTGGCTTGCAAAGACGAGCATGGTCTTTAAAAATATTAAGTTAAATTAACAGATAAAATACATAAGGATAATGTTAAAATATTAACAAGCTAGGTTACAAAAGATTAAGCAGAAGTATGTTATCTTATTTGAACGCAGTAATTTCAAAATTACTAAAAGAAATAATGACCATATGAGTTACATCAAATTGAATGATCTAAGGTTTTATCATCAAAATTATTTATTATTTTTATTATTTTACATCTTTTATTGTTGATGATGTACAGTAGACTTCTTTTAAAAATACAGAAAGTAATATATTCTTTATAATCATTTTGTTGATCTAAGGTACACATTTTATAAATTATAAAAGGAAAAGATATAAGATATATCTGACTAGATAGCACTCGATGCTAGCGGAATAAATCAAGGATACATGAGTCTAACTAATAAATGATGAGGTGTATTAACCATGCAAACATATGAAGGGAAATGAATAAGATCTTTTGATATTATAGCAAATTGTGTGAAGGTGGAGAATATTTTTAAACTTATTCCAGTATTTGAATACTGCGATACCTATTTATCATACACTTTTGAATTGTTTGAACATTTTATGCACTAAAACAGTTGTCTCACAAAGTTACAAGACATCAGAAAAGTAGTTTATATCAAATAATAAAGTAAAATCACACATAATAAAGATTAACAGCATAATAAAGATATTTAATAAAATTAATATATCTTGTGTATAAGGTTTGTTTTTTTTTTGCTTCTCAGAGTAAGGAAATGTTGAATATGTACGAACAATGTGCTTATGACAACAGTGATATTATAGAGCCGACTACCATAGCCTCCGGTCAGTGCCTTTACCTCTTACACCAACACAAACATTGCCTAAAACATGCCTACAATTTCTAAATATATAGATATACAATATATATATGCCTCGTGCATTTTTACATACATAGTGACTCCTCGACCACCCCTGGTATAACCTCTTTTAGAGCCTCACAGTTACAGTGCAGAGCCGGATTCGTGTTTACTTCAATTAAATGGACCTGTTAAAATATACCATTTCAATGTCAAGATTGCACTTCCAAAATTAACCTACCTTCTAAACAAAACAAAAAAACTGATGTCAAAAGCAAAATAAATACTGCAGCTGAGCAATTATGAGATGAGAACACTTTAATTGTTGATTTTAGTAACACTAATATCAAGTTAGATTGACGTCTACATGTATATTTTTAAGTTTTTATAGCTAAAACATGTACATGCAAACAGTTTTATGTATTTAGCTTTTGACATAAGTTTCTTTGAACGCAAACTGCATTAGCAAAACCGTCTAAAGATTTATTGTGGATAGTGAAAAGGTATACAAGCAAGCATTCATGTTATTGTGAGAAGCATCATACTTGCTTCAATTTAGATTTCGATCAGAGTCACAACAGTCCCAAAAGACTTTCATTTTGTTCCAAATTCATAAGCATAATAACGCTTTTCACAAAATTTAGGGATAAATTATTGAAATAATACGACAGACACTTTGGATAGTCGTAAATATGAAACCATTGTAAACATTTAAAGATACAAAAACATATTACCTATTCTATTAAGTTTTTTTGTTTGTTTGTTATTTCTTTCTTGGGGGTTAGGGTGGGTAACGGAAAACTTAATACTGCCAGTGATATGCATGGGCATAGGCCATATAGTATAGAATAAAATATCCTGATAATGTCAAAAAAAAAAAAATGTTAGTACTATCCCAAATCATGAGGTTTTCTTTCAGTATATCATGAAATTATGCACTCCTTTGTAGGATATAATGCAAGTTATTGCATTATCACATTTAAAACTGCATTTTTTTCATTACTGTAGCAGGTTATTGTTAGAATCAACTTTATATTTGACACGCTATGAATATAAATAAGAATTGCTTAATGTCATTGGACATATTTAATGCTTCAATGCTGAGCTTTATTTCAGGCATGGCTTATTCAAACTATGCAATAAGTTGTGATCTGTTAAACTTTATACAGAATATCTTAATTCACTAATTGTGTTCACACTGTCAATGAAATTGTATGATTTCTTTGAAATAACTCTTACATATTTGCTTTATTTATTTTTTTTCATATCAAATTTATTGTTTAACTTTTTAAAATATGTTATTCTACTTGTTATTCTACTTGACATATAAGAAATGCTCATGTATACCAATTCATCTACCAATCAACAAATCTTTACACAGTTTTGGAAATGCTTTAAACAAGACAGATTTTTGGACTACTTTCAAACAATTCTACTACACATTAACATACATAAGCTTTCCGCAATCAAACCGGGTAAAACTTCTTTTTGACATCGACATTTTCGTGACATTGACGGATTCACATTCATCTCTAGTAGCCACGCCTGAAAGTAATAAGACTTTGTATTAATTAGAATGATATTTGAATATCTTTGTGAGTTGCCACACGAAAATGGGACCAGATCTGTTTCTTCTTTTTTTTGTAAATTTGAGGTTTCTAATGATTTTTGTTAAAGATCCTGTATGTTGTTATTAAGGATGTAACATTAATTAAGTAAAAAAATTTAAATGTATCAAATTATCCTTCTAAAACAATTTCCAAACAACCAAGAATATGTTAAATATGTACTACAAATTTATGCACTTTATAAGTAATCGTTAAGATATATGCATTCATTTCTTTTTGAAAAATTTGGCTTAGACTTTATTGAATATGAATTTTTAATTACCTCCCTTTATTTACATGAAATATAAGTTCGGTAATATCTTTACAAATAATGCTTTTTGGAACTTACAATATTTATAAATTAATCTTTATTTGAGCATCATATTTATTATTAGATAAAACCATAAAAAATGAGTTACAGGATCTTTAACATTTTTGCAATTAATTTGCCATACATGTTTTTAATTATATATAGATCTACTCTTGTCGAACATGATGTGTTCACATAATGTTTTATGGATAAAAAGTTAAATAAATATGTCCAAAAGGTTCCAGATAGTTAAATCTGAAGAAGATGGCCCGTTTTTTACTGTGACAACTCACATTTACGTTTGCACATAGCACATTATATGTTGTCATCTGAAGTTGGGTATAGTCACAATCTGAAAACATAAAACAAATCACAGCAAAAACAATCTGTATAACCAAACAAAACTTCAATGAAAAGCAAATAAAAGCAAGCCATAATACAAAGTAAATATAGTAATATCCTCCAAAAGATCCTTAAAGGCCCACTATGCCTCAGAAATGCTATCATTTTTATTATTAAAAACCTGTTTTTTTTTGTTTTTTTGTTTTTTTTTTGGTATCTGATTACAATTTTCCAAGAACATACTTATTTGCTATATAATACATGATTTAGCTTTTGCATCTTAAGCTCTGTTGGCAATTGGTATAATTATTGTGAATAAGTATTTTGAATGGAAGTCAAAGTGCTACTTTGTTTACAGTTTGCTACCTTTGGCCACATAACTCCATACAGTGCTACCTTTTTTCTAACATTTAACATACTCTTAATCCATTATCTAAGCACTATTAAACACATTTTTGACATTTCTAAAGAAATAAAAAATATGAATTTCTGAGGTATAATGTGCCTTTAACCATTTTCAAACCCTTTCTCTGCTACAATTTATGAAAATGTACATGTCCAGCTTTGAACTCAGAGCAGTTCATGATTCATTTAAGCGATAGTAAGACATTTATTATACTGCAGAGTACAATACTGAATTTTATTAAACAAACTCACGGCTGGCAGACCTATACTGGACCAGACACTATGCAATTGAATCAGTATTGTACTCAACATTGCATAATGACATCTTTATTACAGGCAACCAATTTTTTGTACATTTTGACAGAATTTTGATACCTCAAGTACAATATAAATTAGAAAATGTATTTTTGGACTTGGAAATTGAAAACAATGATAAACAGAGTACAATATCACTCAAAAATCAAAACAAGGCTAGATGGATAATATACAGTTATGGATTTGATATGGCTTTTTTGGACTCAGGTAAAATAAAACAAGGCAAAACTGATAAATCTGTATCCGAATTGATTTCTATTTAACCCTTTCGCAGCCAGAGGGTTATTGTTTTATTGATCACCTATTTGCCAGAGGGTTTTCTAAGAAATTACTATATTATTAATTAATATAATTATTATTATTATTTGTTATTAGTATAATAATAAATATATATGTTTCCGAATATGCTAGTATAAATAATAATTATTGTCGATGGTATAATTTTCTTTATATTTATTACTATTCTTATTATTATTATTAATTTATTTTTATTATTATGATTATTATAGAAACGGCAAAAGCCGTCCATATGGCAAATACGCTGAAAATAATAGGGACGGCATAAGCCGTCCCTATGGCAGTGAAAGGGTTAAACATCACATGATGCAAATGTTGGAAGTTTAATGGTTACATATTATAAGATGTGAAATAAAGTCTTATCAAACTAATGCAAAGAGCCAAAGACTGGTATCATACTATACTGGAGACTTTATAAATAGCTAGGTCATAATTGCTACTATCACTATATGCCTAAATCTCTAAAATCACTTTCTAAGAAAAAGGGGAAAGCAAAGCAATGTTAAAACAACAATTTTACAAATTTCATATATTTTCATAATCTAACATTTGCTCAATATATAAGTGTACATAATCTGTTGTAGCAGTTGAAAAACAATCATTTAGTAAAGTGATTAAGGAAGACTTTGTATGTTTTTAATGATATATGACATTGTATGTATAAATATAAAATAAAATCAGTAATAAATTCTAAATAAATAATCAAAAATTTAAATTTCGTAATAAATTCTCCTGATTTTAAGGGAAAATAACGTTATACTTAAGATACACTAAGACGGGCAGAAAGCGGAGAAAATATATAATACATACCTTCATATCTGTGTCCACCATAAAATCCAGGCCAAACAAATCAAAATAACCAATACGAGATTGTAGTTTATGTTTTACACTGTTAAAGCAATGTATCATTATCTTCTGCATCTGTTTCTGTAAAAAAAGAAGGAAAATTATTAATTAATTATTTAATTAATTAATTAATTAATTGATTATATGGTGTCTTATAACAATAGAAATCTATTTAGAAATGATAGAAACTAACTAACAAAATAATTAAATAGACTTGAAGAATGCTAATATGTAAACTAAAGTCTGAAGTGGTGGATGGCTGAGTGGTAAATATGTTAGACAAGTACAAAAAAGATTGCTGGTTGCATTAAAGTTAAAAAACCCTGGTTCAAACAAGAGCAAGCCCTAATGTTTCATTCACTAAGGAACTTTACACCCATTCCTTAGTACTACAGTTGGTTCAAAGAACAGATTTAAGAGTGTTTAAAGCTTAAAGGATCCTTCTATATAATATAATTGAAATCAAATAAATTCTGTATTAAATATAAATGTTCATTTGTTTGTAAATTTTGGAGCTGTTTCTGAAAATGAAACAACTTTGTTTTAAAATCATTAACATATATTACAAACAATCTCTTAAGAATCCATTCATGCAGTTTATGATTTTGAAATTTGAGAATCTGAGTGATAAAAAATGAATAAGTTTTAAGGACTTGCAAGGAAGTATAATCATAAAGACTGTTTTATTGTTTTTGAAGTTACCTCCCTTTAATTATGTTTTTTTTTAAAGTTGGGTTATTGCCAAAAATTGTTCTTTAAGGAAGTACTGCTTGACTAACATGTTACTCATATATTACTACTTTTTTCACTTTATACTATTACAAAAAGTAACACTGTACTCTCCTATTTACTTTGTTTCAACTTCATGAACTTGAAATTTCAAGGCCATTAAACAATACATGCAATAATAGCAGACACAAAATAATAAGCATGTTTTTCAAACCCATAACATTGTTAAAATGATGTCACATGTATTTATTTGTTTTCTATATTTTGTTTTTTGTTGTTGTTGTTGCTTTCTTGTTGTTGTTGTTGTTGTTTTTGTTTTTCTAGGGATCATAATTATTGTTATAATCTAATCATGTAATTTGTAAATATGTTAATGAATGTGTCATAGTAACAAATCAATTATGTAGTAACTTATTTATTCATTAACAAATGTCTTCATGTACTTTGCAACTACTATGAAATAAGGTTGGTATCATTATTATATGAATTTCTATGAGAATATAAGAAAACCTCAGTATCATTGCTTTTTATCTATGCGTAATTACCCACATATGTTGTAATCAATGATTCAACATTTGGCACTACAAATGACCTTATTTGCCTGCAAATGCAGTTGCCATGTTTTAAACATGTAAAACTCTAACTTTAAGCATCATAAAACTGAGCATAATAACAGTATAGAGTAAGACTGCATGGATGTGCAAGATTGCCCCAGACTCATATAATTATACTGGATGCATATGCAATTTATTTCTGCTAAAAGTATTCAAAGTGTTAACCCCTAACCTGCTGAATTTCTTTGAACATGTCAAGATTCCATTGTTGAAACAATCCATTATCAATTTTGGGGATATCAAGATGAGAATTTGAAGTTTAATTAGTTAGTCAACAGGACAGAGCATGGTCAGACTAAACATTTGTGCAGACTAGGCTGGATCTATTCTGGTCCCAAAGGCTAACTACTTTTGGTCCAATCATTTGTGGGATCATACTTACAGTAAATGTATTATAAACCCAATCTTCTTCTATCTCAACTGGACAATCTGGTCTAATATTTTGATTTATATAGTCATTGAATTTGTCCATACTCCAGGCTGTATTCTCCTTCATCTCTTTATAATTGGGGTCCTTCTTCTGTACAAACTGTAATATAGAAATGGTGATATATCAAATACAATTTTGGTACTGGATGCATGACTATATGAAATGAGCAAAACTTCCAAGTAAAGGTATGATTCCAAACATCTATGTTGTTAAATTTGAGATATAAAAGAGATGAAGTTTCCATTAAATTTATAATATGTCAAGGCTAAATAGGATACCTAGGGGCTTGCCCCCAAGAAACTTTATTGATTCAGGACTGTTGGGAGGTGGTTTTTGGAGAAAACTTACTATGAATAAAGATGTGAGGGACAATTCGGAGACAGACAAGTAAATGATCTGTCTCACTTTCATAAAAAGAAGGTGTTGACCTTGGCCTATACTGTATTGGCCTTGACCTTTATCTTCTTATTTGGCCTGGACCTATATTTCCTTTAGATTTATGTTAACAGCATATCAGGATTACACGCATAACTACAATACCTTCCAAAACTTATACTGCCAGACTTAACCACAGTCTCACAAGATAGGTGTACATTTGTATCAAGTACACCAAGGCCCTTGGTGTTAGCCTTTAATTATAACTGTGAGATTTAAAACAATATTTTCAATATACATGTGTCTATTTTTAAACACATATTGTCATCCAATCAATTTATACTAACTGATCCTCAATTAGCTAACTTACCTGATTAGTGAGATGTCTACCAAGATCCATGTTGTCAGCCTCATATTTATTACAACATAATCTGACATATCCTTTATGATATAAAATCAAGAATGGTACAGTAGAGGCTACCAGCATGTAGGCTCGTACATCAAACTTCCGATCTTCCAGTAATAGTGGATTTGTTATATATCTGAAACAAGGGTAGTAGAATTAAAATGACTGAAAAAAACAGCTTTATAAGAACAGAAACAAAGGCAATAATAAATTAAATAGTCTAAATAATTGGTATTAAGTTGAAGAAAAGCATTTGCTTCATTTAAAGACATATAATAAATGGACGATGTAATTGGTTTAAACATATTTATTTAAGCTTGAATGCGAAACAAGTTCTTGCAACTTATATTAATGACTTTATCAGTACTGTAGTCATGTGAAGAAACATGGTCGTGACCCGATTAGGGCTTGAACCCATGATCCATGGGTTGAGAGGCAGACACCTTACAACTAGGCCACCCCTTGACTATGTAATTTAAACACACATAATCTTTTTATGTTGCACCAATGGATGTAAAAGTGATTTCACTAAGGTGCATCATTCTGATTTGCTAATTTATCAGCTAATTATGTTTTCTTTGACAATGCACTTTGACTCTGACCAGGAAGATTTATCTGGAAGTAATGTTAAAACTGAGGATTGGCAACAGCATATTGTTGTTGTTAATTTCTCATGTAATATTGAGTAATGATTTATATTTGTGAGAAAAACATATTCTTTATCATATTTACAGTTTATTTTGATTCTTTTTTCTCTTAACTTAATGTAAAAGACATAGAACTTGATTGTCTTTTTTTATTTTGGTATTTGAATAAGAATCACATTGTTTCTGAAAACAGGGGAGGCTTCATGGCCAAATGGTTTAGGTTGCAAACTTCACAACACCACTTGCCCCACGCCCCTGTGGGTTGAAACCAATCAGGATGGGTTCAAATCCTCTCAGGTACTTTTAGATTCTTTCATGTGAGGATGCTTCCTAGCTGGCTTAAGGGAAGTTGGTGTTTCTACTCAGATGGGTTCAAATCCTGTCAGGCACTTTGTGTTCTTTCATGTGATGAAACTTCCAAGCAAGCTGGCAACAAAAAGTTGGTGTTTCTACTAAGGTGCCTTCTCATGGCTAAAAAGAAATGCACAAAGGCACTCCAAGCACCTGAAGTCTAAATCCTCCACCAATAAAGCTAGAATGTCACCAAATGACCTTTGCAGTGTTGTTGTTACTTAAAATCCACCAAACAAACAAACATTGTTTATGACTACAGTATAAGATACCTTTGTACAATTCTGTTCATGAGAGGACGGCCAGGTTTCTGTGCTTGCTGTTTCTTCTGTTCTCGTTCCTCGAGAATCTGATTAATGGCCTCTCGGGAACGTATAATAAATATTCCCTTTCCTTGATTCATACCTACAGGCTTGCATATCCACATCTCATTGTCTGAAATGGTAACAATTATAGAATAAAGTTATAAAATTACTTTTGTTAAAAATAAAAAAAGATACAGTAAACTGTCTAATAAATGCCCTTGCAATTTCAAATGAAGGCATTTTTTAAAGAATGTAATAACAAAAAAGTACAAAAAAAATAAATATGTTCAAAATGAAATGAATGCTTACACAGTACAGTACTGTTGATGTGTTATTTTTATGTTGGATTAAGTATAATGGGAGCACCACCTTTGTTTAAATTGTGTTGTTTTTTCTGGGATTTATGACAAACTGCTGTTGTCTTCTTGATAACTCAGTTTTCTTTTTCTTCTTTAAGAAAGTGTAGGGGGATAATTAAGGAATATAAGGTAACTGATTCTTTCTTTTTCAATAAGCAATTACAAGTAGGTTTATGTTACCAGCATAATCATGCAAAATATGTTGGCAAAAGAAATTTGAGGTCAAAAAACAGTTTGAAACAAGACCTAGATCAAAAGTTTATTGATTCAGCTATATCATTCATATTTATTTAAAAATTAAAAGTTAAGGGCTAAAAGAACTTTCTGTTATAAGCTTATAAGCACACTCTCAAATTTGAGTGTGCCATTTTGTTTATCTATATATATGACTAATAAAAAAAAATAAAAGCTTGTTTTAAATTGCAATAGTTTAGATTAGTTTTATATGCAATTATTTTAGTTTGAATGTGTTGGAAACTATAATTATAAGCTTATTGAATTAACAACTTCGCTTCTCAAAATAATTTCATTTCAATAATGATAAAAAGACCTGACTGAATACCTTTATAAACTTCAAGAAACAGCTCCCTGTCCGATTTCTCATCAAGTTTATATGTCTCGGGATGAAAATCTGACATTCTTAACCTGGGTAGTCTCCCTTTAGTGCTCAGAGTTACCCTCTCATACTCCTTCAAACTGTTGAGCAAACCTAGTTTATTTGTGAGCAGGTGTGAGTTTGGCAGATGGTTCACTAATTGATCACCTGTAAATTTATGTTGAAAAAAATGTGTACCTTCATTGAGTGAAAATGTTAATTCTATCATAATTACCTATATAAAAAGCAAGACAGTTTGTTTGTTTGTTTGTTTCATTTTACGCCTTTTTCCAACAGTATTTCAGTCATATAGGCGGGTAGTTTCCAAACCATCGTTCCTGGAGAGTTACACCAGTACTAGACTACCTTCCTTTTGAATCGTGCTAAACTACCAAAGCATCTCCCGGGGATCGTAACCCACGCCAGAGAGGTAACTGGATTAGAAGTCATCGACTCTAACCCCTCGACAACGGAGGCGGTCATAAAAAGCAAGACAGACTTTAAGTCAATAGCAATAGGTGTTTCATTTTATATAGCACTACATATCATTCTTAAATCATATCATATAAGTCATATCATATCATAAATCCTATAATATCATAAAGCATAATGTAACATATCATAAAGCATTATTATCATATCATAGATCATATAATAAATCATTTCATTATTTAGCATTACAAACTGAATGATATAAGAAATCTCATCATACAAAATAAAGTATATGAGAATATAGATAATAAAATATTATGTCAGACATCATATTATAAATAATATGATCCATAGCATAATATCATTAATTAAATGCTATCATAAATGATATGTTAAAAATTATAAACCATATCATACAAATCATATCAAAAACATCATATTCATGTACATATATATATAACAGCTGTTAGCAATTTCGTTTGATGAAGTTTATATTTAGCTTTAAAGTATGACATATATGAAAGCATATAAAAGCAATGTAGTACAATCAATTTTTGACCAAAACAATAAATTTTGCATATAATTGCCTTAGTATTTTAATAAATTTAAATGACTTGAATGTACAGTTCCAATTATCAATGATAGATCATGTGAAGAACTGAATTCAGGTATTTATTTTGAACATAGTTACATAGTGTTCTAGAAAGTACAACTTATATGGAAAAATAATTTGAAACTTTTACATACATTGTATATTCCTATTAATTATAAAACAACTCATATGTTACATAATATTGTGACAAAAGATTCTACATACCCTCCCTGAAAGCACCATAGTTGATTCTAGTTTTGCACTCGACCCATTTTAATTTAAATCTTTCATCATACTTGTCTGTTATTCTTTTCCAACCAAGATTTACTAGTGGTGCTTCAACTCTGAAAAAGTAGTATTAAGATATTCAATTGGCATTCATATGATGTTTCAAAAATAAATTACATTGGTAACAGTCAAATAGAAGAAAAATTTGTCAATCAAATTTCAGAAGTAGAATGAAGAAAATTTCTTACATATAAAACATCATATCAATTTAAAACTAAATGATTACACACTAATCAGAAATTTTAATTTAATCATTGCTAATTTTAGCCAGAAACATTTTTCTCTAGTAAATTGGGAACAATATGAGCAGCTGACTTTTTCAATCACAGACTGCTGCAGCAGAATTTTCCAAAATTTTCGCTATGAACTGTTTACAACTTTGTAGTTTTTATGAAATTATATTTTATCACATTCTGGAAGAAATGTTAAGCATACAGCCCTGATGATAATTCACAGCTCAATATTTAAGCTGTCATTTCTAGGTAATTTCAATGATTCTTAATTCTAACATGAACTCTTCATGAACTTTTGTTCATGAACTGTTCATTTTCTGTCTGTGTAGTGCAAATGAGACATTAAAATTGTGTTTGAATATGTATATGAACTATTTTGGTAGTTCATGAATTGCCCAAGAATTGGCAATGAAACTGTATACTTTGAAAAGTTCTTGAACAGTTCACAGACAGTTGTCTTTGAACAGTTCTTCAAAGACACCATGGTTATTTCAAGGACAGTTCATGAACCAAATTTTTAAGAACCTATCAAGAGTTTGTCTCATTTGCAGTTCAAGGAATTTCAAGAAACTATGAATTATGGACATGAATAGTTCATGAACTTTTCATGAATTATTCATGAACAGTTACGGTTCATTTCGCAGTATAATAAACTGTCAGTAGTATGTGTTTTAATATTTCAGCAGCAGATGGCTACTTTAGCACTGAGCAGGGCTGGTAGTGCAGCATAAAAGATTTTTTTTTCATATTTTCAGCACCTACAACTTGAACCACTGGCTGCAAAGTGGCAATTTCAGCAGTAATATGCCTTAAAAGTGGTGACATTGTTCCTTAAATTTCAGCAGTAAACAACATTGTAAACTTACAAAGAAACACCATTTCCTCCTCCAACATAGAATGTAGGAGTCATGTTGGTTGGTAAACTACAAGACGGAAGTTTTGTTACTTTAACACCGGGAGATTTTTTACCACGTCCTTTTTTTCCGGAATCTGTCCCACTGATGTCCTCAACTGTTTCTGAAGGGGTGTCTGTCTCTACCCCTGTAATGAAAAAATGAAACATTATATTATAAATGCCTCAGTTTAATGGTTTGTTAAGTTGCTGTTATATTTTGTTGTTTTTTGTGTTGTTCTTTTTCTCACACAAACAAAATTTTATTACTGGCATGATTTTATATATACATGTATCTTAAAAACATTAAAATTTAAAAACAAAATCTCTAAAACTAAATTTAAAAAAAATATAGTTCATTCATTTTTTATTATACTTTTTATCAAACCAGGGATTGGCAAAGTTCAAGCACTTACTATCACATCAGTACCGGATAGTCCATGAAATCAACTAAGCTCACTGCTATTAAGCTGAATAAGTGAAATGAACTTGCCCTTCTCTGAATTATTGGAACAGTCCATTCTAAGTTTAAGGGATTTCAATATTAAAATTAAAAAAATGAGCCTGGTTACCAGCAATACAGTTTGGACAGTCTGCAAGGGTGTGTAGACTGGCCTGGCTCTATACTGTTGTTACATTCCAGCTCTTGTTTTAAAAAAGTTTTTAAATAATCTTCATATAAAAATCCAATCTTGAATTTTGTTTATTTAAACAAAAGAGAAGTATCTTACAATAATGTCAAGCACATGATTTATTGCTGATAACAAATACGAATAATTGAACTTTCAGCACGTATTCTGTGTTTATATAATATTTTATATTTCTTCAAAAGATTGCTCATTGTTCATAGCTGGTAAGAGTATGTACCACATGTGCATAAGAAGTTAGCCCTCGTCTTTTATGTGCAACAAATTTTCACAAAAATTATAAGTGAAAAAGGGCATAACTCTAAAAATATAGCTTTCAGAATTATGCCCCTTACATGTATTAAACAACTGCACCTTGTCATGGTAAGCAGGTATTCCAAGTTCCGTAATGTAAGTTTAAAAATATTTCAATGCTAGGCTACATTTTGCATCACAATGTCAACAACAGCAATGCAACGATCACAATAGTTTGACTTTTTCTTCCGAACAGACAAGCTTAAAATGATTAGGAATTTTCTTATTTGATAAAAACTTTATGTATGTGTTAAATTTTTATACAAAAGTTACTGAATGTGAAAAAAAATTAAATTTCATCCACCTAACATTTCAGGGTTACAACAAATATGTGTATTAAAATGGTTGAAAAAATAACTGTGGGTCTCTCTACATGATCTTCAAATACTAGTATAATGCATATTACAGTAATAAATCAGCATGAATTATCACAAGAGGCAGTTGCTACTTTTCCACCAAAATGTCTTTAATGGACTTGTCCATCTTTCAATCTCAGCACAAAACCATTAATTATTTTTAGGGAAAATATCAAAATTAACTGCATTGGTCAAATGGATTGAATCAGTTAAAGCTTAAGCAAGAATATAATACTTCTTCAATTAAGCCTTCAAACTTGACTTGCATTATCTATCTTTCTTGGTGATTATTATAGTTACAAGGGCTTTTAACTTCTTTAAGTAACTATTTACCATTTATTGAAAACTTGTATCAAATATCACCCTTCATTATTAAATCATATATAATTTCTACCTAATCATAAATATAAATCTGATATGTTTAATTAAAAATGAAGCACCGTTGTTGAGTGGAGTTAATCGGACATCAATCAATGAGGTATTGAATGGTTCCCTTTTACATTATTGATAGCTTTAATAACTTAACAACCAGTCCATGTATGTATCATACTGGTAAATGAACTTGGAAAAATAGAGAAACCCAATGAAACTTATTGATAATATAATAATATTTACAATACAATATTGTTCCCAATGGGGTGTCATTATACTTTGTTTCTGCACTCATTTACTATGTTAAGTGTCTAACGCAATACTATTGTAACTATCTAATGCAATAACATTGTAACTAGAATTTACAGCATCCATCCTTACTAGAGGGCTAAGTACTACAAGACCACTGATAAAAAAATCCACTATCAAAACTATTGTTATTATTAACACCTTTCTATAACAATAGTTTTGATAGTGGATTTATTTTTTTAATTCTTAAATTTTGTGAAATTTGGATTTTGAACTGTTCAATATGACAGTCTGGGAGACTAAAAGTTAAGATGATCCAACAGTGTAAAGTACACAAATTTACAAGAGTCGGGCAAGGCTTTATATTGTTGGCAAAGGCACACAAGTAGAATTCAAAGGAATAATAAAGTTACAACAGTGTTGCATGGTGTAATTATGACTATATTACTTCAATGTATAGAAGAATGCCAAGCTCTTAATGAATATTTCATGTTATCCAGTACATTTATGGTACTTTCTTACATGTATTTGTACTTCTTGTACATTTCTATAAAAGTTAAGCACTAATAATTTATAAATACTCTCTAAAGGCCAAATATTCTTTTGAATTTGTACATAAAAGAAGGTCAAACTTAACATCTTGAAGTTTAATCCAAGTTCAATAGCCTTTTTACTTTCTGTTATGTATGTATAGTTCTATGATTAAAAAAACATAAACAACAAGGGCATGATGCAAAACTGTTGTATGTGCTCCAACATTTCATCTGCTTTTTAACCACTTTTAGCACTAAAGCCTTAGATAAATTTCAAATTGATATTTGTGCATATTTTTAAATGTTATCTTTTAGAACTAAACTCACAATATTATTTGGTATCAGTTGACTAAAAATTATTAAAATTTATATTATGACTAGGACCTCTTTAAAGACACATTATGCCTCAGAAACTATTCTTTTTTTCCTTCTTTAGGAAGGGTACACAGATGAATATTACAACATTTAAATAATAGTTTAAAAGCATGTTTCAGGTTTGTTATCTAAAGAAAAAAGTGTGTAATGTGAAATAATTTGTCATAAATGTAGCCATAAATAGTATTTTGACTTCCAAATAAAATAAAAAATCACTATATCCTTACTAAATACTGCCAGAAATTGCAACAGAAGCAAAACGTGGTTCAGATAAATTACTTAGGAAACTTTAACAGGTCCAGAACACAAAAAATAAAAATCTTCTGAGATACAAAAACAAACACATTTTGGGGCATAATGAGCCTTTAAAAGTCAGAATCTGTGAATGCTTACACTGGTACCAAGAATGACTCGCCCTAATCTAGTTTAGAACTTATATGATGGTCAGTCTGTATATCAATGAAGTTGACCACACTTAAATCATTTAACTGCTGTTTGCTGAATTATAATATTTCTGCATTTTGAAATTAATATCGTCGGACAATTATTTAAACATTTTGTTTAAACATTTAACTCACTGTTATGCAAAAAAGGAGTTCCAGTCTAAAAGCAAGGCAAGACCATTGTATGAATTTTACCATAATTTTTTAGTGTAATTTATCTAAGTTTTACTCTTATCAAACCTTGAGAGTATGAGTTATCAATAATATTTCTGTCGGTTAATTATTTTGAAACTTAATCAGGGTCTTTTTTAATGGTTTATTACATTATCTAGAGGTTTAAGTCTAAATATGAATGGATTTCTTTGTAACAAAAATATATGATATTATCATTATTTTTTGTTGGGTTTTAAGCCCCATTAACAATATAAATTAAGGTCATTAAGCTGCCTTAAATTCCAAACTTTAGTGAAGGACTGGAAGACCTCAAATGTACCTCTTTGCACTGTCAAGCAAGGGGCCATCTTAGTAGAGCAAAAGACTTTATATCAGGTAGCTGGATACATCTCTTCATATAGCAGAAATTCAAAAGTCCCTGGAACTGGACAGTGACGGGATCTTAAGTTATCCCTTGCAGGCAACCTTAACATGATTGCAGTGACAGAGAGGGTCCATTAAAATAGAATGTAATTTCATTTACAACACAGATCAAGTTACATGTAAATGTATATTCATTTTAACTTAAAGCCTCGGTCTCACTTCCTCCCGGCAGAGCCCAGGACCATCCAGATAAGTTACCGGGATGATCCGGGACGATCCGGGATCAAATTATTTTTGCGGTCACACTTACCCCGGCAGCACTACGGTAGTTCCCTACTAACCACCCAGGATGTGCTCCGGATCATCCAGGCAGAGCCCAGGTGAAGGTACGGATCATGCCGGTGCTTCCCCGGTTGTTCCCTGATGATGCCGGAAGAGCCCCGGTAGATCATCCAGGACGTTGCGGGCAGAGTTACGGATGTACCCCATTTGTTCCCGGTCGTACCCCGATCGTTCCCGGATCACCCCGGATGTCTACCGGGGCTCTGCCGGGATGTAAGTGAGACTGTAGCTTAAAGGTTGTACAAATCTTGCTCAATTTCTAGTAACATCAAAACATAATTATGATATTTTAGAATCATTGTCTTAAAATGTGAAGCAAATTTCAAAGCTACTTTGAAACACGATTTCTTATGTGCTAATAGTACAAATAAATGAAATCAGTTCTCTGTTGCACAAGAATTCTCTGAAAAGCAACTATATCATGATGCTCTGTGCAATTTAAATACTTTTTTTGTACAATATTACCTCTAAACAATTATACCTAAACATAAAAGCAAAACAAAGAAAAAAAAGCAAACCACAAACAAGAAATGTTATTAAGCCTACCTAAATCATTGCAAATTGGTAAAACTCCCCTTTCCGTTAAATAACGCCGCATATTTTTCCCGTTCACCATAAGCCTGTCGTTAAATGGACAAACGGTCTTCACCCGCCATATTAGCGGTAGTTTTAAAACACCTATCCTCTCATCCATAGCAACTATCGAACAAATTTCATTAGAAACCCCATTAGATTATAAGCAGAAGATTCAATAACACAAAAAATAAATATTTCACTTTTTAAAGCGAAATGCCATTATTGTGAATTATACAAACATAACACCATTCTTACAATAACCAGCTTTCATGAACACTGAAAAACAAATCAGTTCAATACCATGAGGCGAAATATAGGAAAGAAAACAATTTATGACAACTGTCAAATGACTGGTTTTAAAATATCAGATAGCACGCTAATGAATTGGGACGGAGGGTTCCGTATATTATCCTATTGCAAATAAT